CTTTTTCTGTGTACGTCCACACTGCAAAGAAAAAGGGATGTTCTGAAGTCGAGTTGGCTACTCCGTATTAAAATGGCAGCAAAGACCTTTAAGACAACTGGGGTTAGCGCCCCCCCTCCCCAAGTTCAACCTGAGACTCCATTTCAGGCTTTAATGTGAGCTGCTAGCCCGAGTTGCTGTGTCTTCGCTGCTATTTTCACCCAAGTGAGCTAATGCGGGTCACCCACCCCAGTTGAGAACACACCTTTTCCCGCAGTATAGACATATGCTCCTCTCTCTCTTCAGAAGTGACCAGAGAGCTGTGGACCTCAGAAACCTTCCCATCAAAATCAATAGGGGACTTTAACTTCCCGGATATAGATTGGGGAACAAACGCTAGTAGCAATAATAGGGCTCAGATGTTCCTAGATGTGCTTGCTGATCAATTCCTTCATCAAGTGGTAGCTGAACCGACGAGGGGGGAGGCCATTTTAGATTTGATTCTGGTAAGTAGTGAGGACCTCGTGGAGGAAGTGGTAGTAGGGGACAACTTGGGCTCCAGTGATCATGAGCTAATTCGGTTTAAACTAAATGGAAGGAGTAACAGAATTAAGTCAAAGACTAGGATTTATAATTTTAAAAAGGCCAATTTTAACAAATTAAGGGGACTGGTAAGGGAAGTGGATTGGGCAAACGTATTAATGGATCTAAAGACAGAAGAAGCCTGGGATTACTTTAAGTTAAAGATGCATGAGCTGTCAGAGGCCTGTATCCCAAAAAAGGGAAAAAGATTACTAAGCAAGAGATTTAGACCGAGCTGGATGAGCGACCGACTCAAAGGGGCGATTAGGAAAAAACAGAAAGCGTACAAAGAGTGGAAGAGGGGAGGGATCAGTAAGGAAACTTACCTTAGTGAAGTCAGAGAATGTAGAGATAGAGTGAGAAAGGCCAAAAGCCATGTAGAGTTGGCGAGGGGAATTAAAAGCAATAGTAAGAGGTTTTACAGCCATATAAATAGGAAGAAAGCAAAGAAAGAAGAAGTGGGACCGCTGAAGACTATTGCCCATGGGGAGATTAAAAACAATCTAGGTTTTGCCCAATCCCTTAAATAATAGACTCCATCCGCTGT